AACACTACAACATACACATATACTAGGTAAATACAGCTGCACTACATCAGTATCAAAGTTCACCAACACACAAGAGGCTACCTTCTAACAGTAATATCAAATACTGTACAGCTCAGCCTCCAGTTTGAACAGATGACAGCATGATAATCAATTAATGCTGCATTATATAGCATCAAATAAAGCTGCAGTAACAATGTGATCAATCCACATCACTTCAGTGATGACTTAACGCCCCATGGTTTGCAATAAACAGTGTAAATGTATTTCACATGTGTCGCACTACATGTATCATTACGTAACAGTGCACCATGGCTACATAAATCCAAAAAATACCTCAGTGAGCTCTGTGCAGACTCAACTACAAGTTTATAACACATTATTCTCAAAGTGTATGAGCTGCAAATCACAGTGCGTGTAGCAGGTGATCTCAACAAGGATGCAGGGCGCACACACATGGTCAGTCACACACAGTTTAATCTCTCAAGACAGATTCTGCAATTTACATTGTAAAGGAAGAAAAAAAAAGTTTTTTGTTTTTGTTTTTGTTTTTGTTTTTTTACCAATGGATTTCCAGATTGTGTACAGTTAGGCTACATAACAAATCCGTCTCTTGCAAACAAAATACCACACTAACGAGCGAAGTGCATTTCAGTATTAAATATTGAAATTAAGTTTATTTAATATGATATACTTTGACACTAAGAGAACCAGATACAAAAAGCCAGGCTTCAACAATCAAAACAAACAAACTCAGGAGACCGTGCCCTGGTCTGATTACACCTGTGCATCCTCACATCCTGACTTTGACTTTGAAAATTCGGCCAGTCACCATCTTTTTTTTTTCAGTAGAACTTATCATAGATTGTCACATGTCGATAATTTGATACCCTCAAATAAGCAGTGTTTTCAAATCACTACATTAATTATTAACACATTCCGCACCTGTCCCGGTAGATTTAACACATCCTGTCCATCAAAAACATCAACTTACTCAACAAACCGTGCATTAGTGTGATAACTGAATGTGATCATTATAAATTAGCGTCTGTTTTCACCAAATCTGGAGTTTCTGACAGACCTAACAACATGCTGTGAACTGATCAACTTTTAAACCCAAACATTTACACTAATTTCTACACAGATGACCCTTTAAACAATTTCAGAGGTCGTGTCAACCAGTAAAATGCTAAAATAAATATAGAAGTTGTCTTACCTGGAGGGTTAAAGTCCCTGGGGGACATCTTTGGGTTTTCCACAAAGTTGAGTGGTCCGAAAGGTTGAAAAGTGTTTTCCAAAACTTCTGCTTTCTGCTCAAATCTCAGAGAGTAATCTTTCCACAGGTTGGTTCTGGTCCAAATCCAAGTGCAAAGTGAGAGATCACAATGATCTGAAGGCCTTATAAACGTGACCTCAGCCGGGTCACCGTTCTGTTTCTATGACATTGATGTCATAGAAACAACGCGCGTGCGAGTGACTGAGACAGAAAGACTGACACTATTCAGTTATATTTTCATATTTGTTCATGTCTTAATTTTAGTTTTAGGCTACTTGTCTCTTTTATTTTTCACTGATTTTCATTAGCATTTCTCTCTCTTTTATGACAGTGTAGCTGCTGCTTCTGTGTAATTACTGCCATTATTAACCCATTATTAACTAAAAACTTAAATCAAACCATAGCCTTTATGAATATACAATAAAAGAAAGCTAGTAATGTCTACATAGATTACACATGCAGCACAACATTAATGACTGACACTGTAACACTCATAGTTTTCCATTTTATAACACATCTAACAGTAATGACAGCACAGTGTGACAGTTACTGCACCTATCAGTTCAGTAAAACCCTCTGCTGAGGTATGGCAACACCACCTTGACAAACCACACGCAGAACTGCAGCACAATGTAATACCAGAGCCAGCAGTAATAATTTTGATAATTAGTCTACTTTATATTTAATCATAATTACGTTTGCTCGTGATTATTAGTTTAGACAGCAGTAGGGTTGTCTGTTGTAGCATAGCAACATTTTTTATTATAGTTTGCAGAAATATACTGGAGGCGCTGGAGGGGGCAAAGCATACAGCAAGATAAATATATAGATAAGTGATATTACAGACAACAGAGCCTCCCCACAGCATTCAACCATCATTTCTTGGTTTAGGAAGTGGCTTCCAGATAATATTTGATATTCTAGGTCCTGCATAATCAAGGAATGGTGTCCATATATGATGAAATATACCAAATGTACCTCTAGACCAGTATGTCATATATTCCATGGGTAGGAGTGTTGGTGGCTTGTTTGAAATCCATTTCAGTGATATACATTTATGTGCAGCATATGTTAACACACTCTTTCTGTAAACCCTCTGGATCTGTACGTGTGGCATTCATAGCAGAAGGCAAACTGGATCCAAATCTAATTCTTTATTGAAAACCAAATTTAACTTTGAAACAGCTTTCAACCAAAACCTCTGAATATGTACACGTCCATATAGTGTGTCTAAAACCAACCTCCTCTGCACTAGCCTGCTCTGTTACAGGTAATAATCTTGCACTCCAAACCTTAAATCACTTAAAGGTAAGGGCAAAAAGGGCTTTTGTGTTTTATAGGTTATAGTCTTGGATTAGGAAGCAGCTTTATACTGTTTATTGTAGCTGGCTGATGTGGAGCTAAATACACATTACATGCACTGCCAGTTGGCCCAATGTACTGTCAACTATGCATTGCATTTTACAGGCTCACAGTAGGTTTTGAACATTCTAATCTGAAAACTAGTAAACTAGTAATAGAGTGCAATATTTAACTCTGAAATATAGGAAAGTTAAAGTATAAGGTAGGGGCTCTGATTTCAGCTTCTTAAATGTGATTTTTGTTTGTTTTTTTCTTTCTTTTCTCCTTTATGAAAGTATACTGAGTAGGCTACAAAATTTTTGAGGATGTCACCTTTTTGGAAAAACTAATCGACATTTTTCACCATTTTCTAATATTAACACTGCAAAAGATCAATCACACATGCACACACACACACACACACACACACACACCTCCTGTATATCAACAGGCAAGCAGCAACCTCCAGGGCTGAAAAATGAAGCTAACGTGAAAGTGCCATTTCGATGAATGGCCACTTATATATAAATATATAAATAACTTATAATTATCCGACAGCAGAGCGGGGAAAAGCGAGTGGGAGACCCGGCTCTCCTGTCGGCAACGGAGCGGGAAGAAAGCGATGGCGACAGTAGCACCGCGGACCGAGCCCCTCTCCCCGCTCGGCCGAGGCCGGCTCCCCGCTCGTTTTTTTGGTCGGCAGGAGAGCAGGCAGGCAGGAGGCCAGCCGGCTCCCTGCTTGCCAGCCTCGTAGAATCTGCCGGCCTCCTGCCTGCCTACCGGCCTCAGACCGAGGAAAAAGCGAGGGGGACAGCAGTGGAGCGGGGAGGCATCGGATGCAGGCATTGGATCGCTTTGACTTGTAAAATATGCTAACCATGCTACTAGCTTATTTTTTATCTAAACTTAGCTTACAAAGCTCTGCATTAGCAGACTTTCGCGGTGTGGTTTTCCATATATAAAACTAGGTAACCTAGGTCAAATTTGATTACATTAATTAATCTGATATGATTGAAATTAATTCACAAACAGCCTATATCTTAAAGTAATGGTGGCGGCATGGAAGTACAGAGGAGTGGGGCGCTCACTAGGTCCACAGAGGTTGAGCTGTCCAGAGGGCGGGCCCATTGGCTCTGCAGTGAGCAGCCTCTCCTTGAGACTGGCTCCAAATCGAGCTAGTCTCTATAGACCCCCATGTTTAAATGCCCAACTTCACAGCAGAAATAAACATGTTTATTATTATTATTGGTACAAAAAATGTTTTTGGTCTTTACAGCTGATTTCCCCGTTCACAACAACTGTATGGGGGGTGAATTTTTCTATAACTCACTCACAGTTACACACCATTAAGGGTGCGGCTGCTTTAGCACTTCTCGCCCAAATCACTTCTGGTCCTAAGAACAAAATTGGTGATGGGCAGAATGCCGAACTTGACGCTTCAAAATGGGAGTCCACAAGGGCAATGGGTGATGTCACAGTAGCTACGTCCATTATTTTTATAGCTAGTCTATGGTAACAGGACATTTAGACATTGAACTGACAAAGACCTTTATGGGTTTTGATGCATTTGAAAGGCTCATTCTGCTACCATGTTTGTAATATAAATCACTGTAACAGTTTTGTGTAATACAAGTATTTCATTAAATATTTAGGCATTACTTTGGGTGTGTAAGACAAAGAAAAATCATGCTCCCTCCATAAATACAACAAGAGTAAAAGTCTGAAGCCATGCTGCGAGGACGTAATAATCATTTCACATAATAAATAAAAATAAGGATAAAAAATGGAGAAAAACCATTGCTTTGCTTGACCCGAGAAAGGCGTCACAGATTCGGCCACTGCCATGCACACACGCCTCCTTTATATCAACGGGCAAGCAGCAACCTCCAGGGCTGAAAAATGAAGCCAACGTAGAAGTGCCGGTTCCTTGAATGGCCACTTGAGACTGGCTCCAGGAACAAGTCAGTTCCCATAGACCCCCATGTTTAAATGTCCAACTTTGCAGCAGACATAAACATGTTTAACAATTCAATAACATGTTTGGTGATTGATCGCTAATATTCTGATGTCCCACATTAGCTTCTATAAATTATTAAGGTTAAAAAAAAGTTGTTTTTGTCTCTATATGCTCTGTACAGTTTTTCTGTTATTTCTTTATTTATTATAATTTTTTTAATATACCACTAACTACTTATTTTTTATAATGTCTCTGTGTATGTGTATTGCTGCTGTCTGTGCAGCTGTGACAGCCTTGTTTCCTCTCTGGGGCTCAGTAAAGGTTTAGTTTGTGTTAGTTACCATCCTGACCTGTAGGGGGCGCGTGTTGGCGCTGCGGCCCTGCATTGGATGATGTTGAGGTTTCGCGGATGTATCGGGAGCGCGCGGCGCGTCTCAGGGCGGACACTGTGCTATCAGCGCTCCACTCGCATGTTTTGATTCCTCAAAGTTACAGTCAGTGGACTAGCTGTAAAATGTCCACAGTAACGCAACCTGCCAATGACCAGTATGTTTTTCGTCGACGTGAGTTTGAAGAGCAGCCGCCAGAGAACCAGAGAAGATGGCATACTCCTCAACAACACGTCCACGGTGCACGGCAGACCGCACTACACCACCAGCGACACCGGGTAAAGCAAAAGTACATTAACAAGCTAGCTGTAGCCGTTTATTAGATTTCATGCTAACCGTGACACGGGACATTTACGGCCAGGACTCAGGAGTGGTTCCACTGTGTCGGAGCTAACGTTAAGCTCAGGGAGGTCCTGTCGTAGTTAAATAGCTCGTCAGCGTCAGTTTAACTTACTACGACTTCAATTTGATCAGTTTTCAGTTGTCACTTATCCTGTGTAATAAGCCTAGATAACCAGCGCGTGAGCCAAGCCCTAGTTAAAAAATCTAATACTTAAATATTTCTTTTCAAACGCAAGCAATACATACATGGCAGAACATGGGCTATGAATATTGCGAATGAACAGGATCAGATATTCAAGTCGGGATATAACTTGTAACATATAACATATAAGCCCTATATGAAATTGGTGGATAAGTGGCTGCGTGGTGTAATACACACAATATAATACAGCAGCTGTTCACACCGAAAAGAAGGGTGGCTCTTCGTCTTTTAAGCTTCTAAAGCCATGTCCTACTAGCAGGTGTCTGTGTATGTATTAATATGTTGGCAACTTTAAATCAAACGTTTTTTCAATGTAGTTTGGTGGCATTTTCTCCTCACAAGAGATACAGAATATCATGTGACAGATCCAGGCCTTACCAGTTGAGTAATAATCTGCAAGTTTAACAAAGTAGGAAGGCAGGCTTTTTTTGTTGACAGCCCCCCACCTATAGTAGTAGGGTTTTAACTGCTGTTTCGATGTCATTATGCACACAATGTAGCCTAAACACAATAGGAGTTAAAGGGATGGTTCAGGTTTTTTGAAATGGGGTTGTATAGGGTTCTTATCCATAGACCATATGTGACACATAGTAAATGTTAGTTGGCATGCCCTCAGTTTGGAGAAGCAGGTAGGAGTCTGATATTAAAGCTAGCAATCTGCAACAAAACGTGTTTTAGCCACCTTAAAGAAGTCCCACCTAAAAAAAACTATCAGTTTAAATGTATGCTGAATTGAGAGTATTTTCACTGCTTCAGGGTACCGTAAGGCAGTAATTTCTGACAGGAAAATAAAGCTGATATATCATTCTCTTCAAAGCCAGACTACACTGAAAAAACAGTGATTTAATATCACTGAACACAGGAGCTGCTGGTCAACTGCTGCTTGATCGGTTAGTTTGTCTGTGTTATTGTGATTGTGGTGTTTTAAAGGGTTAGTTTGGATTCACCAAAGTCACACAATAACACTAACTAACTGATCAAAGCAGTGGTAGATGAGTAGCTCTGGTGTTTAGTGAGTTAAAATGACTGTTTTTGTTGGTGGAGTCTGGTGGCTTTGACAAGAGCATAGAGAAGATGGAGAACTGAAGACGTTAATGTCTTTTCCTGTTGGAACAGGCTGTCTGACGGAGAGGTAAAATAGTAAAAAATACTTAAATATAGTGCCCACTTAAACTGATAAATTGTTTATGGGTGGGACTTCATTTAGGTGGTGAAAACATGTTTTCCAGTCCACAGCAGCACATTGCTTAGCTTCCATGTCAGACTCGAGGCTGCTTCTCCAAACTGGGGGCATGCCGAGTGGCATCTACTATATGAAATAAACTGACTGTGGATAAGTACCTCATACACTCCCACTACAAAATATCTGAACTATCCCTTTAAGACTGCTAACACCAAACAATACATACGACTTGATGCATATTATTATAGTTTGTTATTTTAGAAGATAAGTGACATTATTTGTGGCATAATTAGATCATTTATTATGTTACTGTAGATTTTATGTTTGTCATTGTACAACCATAATGTGATGTTTTGACATTATTTGTATTTCGAACTGGCTAGAGCTTTCACTTCTCCTTCAGGCTAACAAGTAAAACCACACACCATTTGGTATGTCAGTGTCACTGTCTTTGATGTGTTTTTCCTGGAATGAAGGTTCTAAGTTTCAGTTTATGACTTGTTATTTCACCTTTGTCTTCATTTATTAATTTTTTTCAAACCTGGGTGCAGCCGGTGTCGTGCTGCTGTGTAGCAGTCAATTTGTTATTTTTGTCTGTGGTAGAGCGATTGTTGTGTGAACCATTGCAGACGTGATGGGGTGTGTCTCTGAATGCACTCCAGTTTAGTAATGAAGTACATTGTTATACAGTGAATGGGATTACAGGCTGCCACAAGATTACTGATTCGGGGGGGGGCAGTGATAGCACAGCTCAGAAGATTGTGTCATAGTCAATGAGTCTGTCCACAGTAAGAAAGAAAGATAGGATTTAGTGTCTTTACAAGCTGTTTTTAGCTACATCCATACTTGTCATTAATATTCACATTTCACAGAAGCTAATTAAAGTTAATAACATCAATCATGTGTTAGACAAGGTAATAATCAATCATTAACATCGGTTTATGGTCTATGCTTGCTTGCAGGCACACCTAAATTTAAAGTGCACCGATGTTAGTGCACATACTGAGGAAACGGACGCAGTTCTTTTTACAATGCATTCTGGAATTATCAAGGGAGATATTGCTTAATAATAAGGAAGTCACTGTAATTACTGTTGTCTGACTTGTATTGTTTATGTCAGCATCATTGTAAGAGTCACTGCTGGGAACTGTGTAACAGTGTGTTTTCTGAAGCTTTTAGTTACTAGATATGAGAGCTCATGATAGTTGTATGAAGAGATGATAATAGGAGATTACTAGGGATGTCCTGAGCTTTTTTTTTTTTTAAGCCCTGATGTGAGTCAGTTCTGCTGAGTCCAATCCTTATATTAACCTAAATGTTTAAGTATGTGTCTGGCTCATTATAATAGCAGCTGCAGTCTGCTGTCACAAGCTACATGATCCAAATACTGGAGGTCCTGGTTCTAAACTGTTAGTCTGGTGAGCCTAATTTAAAATTATGATAGAAATAAAAGTTTAAATGGCAGAATGAGACTCCTGAAATTGATGTGACGTAGTCAGCTAGAGAGACGATGTATGACTCTGTTGGACAGACAATTCAAGCTTATTAGTACCGACCCGAGCTTGCACACGAACCAAACAGCCAAGATTAACTTTTGCATGTTGTTTTCACTGATAAAAACATCAAATGATGATGATGTAGTTTTTGCAAGGGTTCAAACAAGCATGTTCCTTTATGTCTGGAATATGATTTGTAGGCTGGGACAGACCTGTTGTAGCACCACAGTGCTTAATTTATAATGATATTGTGTGACACATTTTACCTTTATCAAACAATTGCAGCTACTGCGATTTGGATATTGCACTTGGTCATATTGCGATTTCTATAATATTTCAATTTATTGTGCAACCCTAACCAGATGACAGTTAGTGCAACAAGAAGACAATTGCAGTAATTTTTCAAGCAGAAGTGCCAAATATTTGCTGGTTCCAGCCTCTGAAATCTGAGTCCTTCCTTTACCATACATGATAGTAAATTACATATCTTTGGGATTTGAATTGTTGCTCAAATAAAAAAAAAAAATGAATTCATCACTTTAGGATGCTGGAAGTTAACATGGGCGTTTTTCACTATTTTTATGCCTCTGTGCTGACAACATCCATGGCTGGAGGCATGTGTTTTGGGGTTGTCTGTCCGTCTGGAATGCCTGGAAGAGATTTGCTCAAATTTTGGCACAAACGTCCACTGGGACTCAAGGATGAATTGATAAATTGGTGGTCAGACTCACTGTGACTTCAAAAAAACACGTTTTTAGTCATAACTCAGGAATTCATTAGCCTGGAAATCCAGACCCAAATCTAGAAAGATTTAGGGTCTGGCTATGAGTAATGAAAATGGCCCAACTCGAGGGGCGGCACCAAGCATGCATTTGAAAATATCACTGCGTGCAATTGGATAACACTACGACCAATCAGAACAATACACAGGGTGACGTATACGCTTAGCTACCAGCGGAGCTAACAGGTAGATTAGACTCTTGCCGTATCCGGTCGGCAAAACACCAAAAACATCCTTCTTGCAAAGGAAAGATTCGAGCGCCGTCTTCTGTTCCTGTTTTAGAGAAAAAGCCAAGTCTAACTCATTCATTGTAGTGGCCAAAGCCGTTTCAGACAGCTGGTGTTCATCCGTAGCCATCTTGCAATGTTAACTGACTGATTCCGGACTTCGTTTTTGCAGCGCTGTCGTCATCTGTTTAGCTTGCCTCTGGCCCGCCTATATCAGATACACCCATGTGATTGGTGCAGCTTGGCTACAAGGGCATGGGTAATGAGCATCATTACTGATTGCCAGAGTGACTCGCTGAGCAAATTGAAATTGTGCTCTTGAGATTGGATTTCCAGGGTAGGAATTCATATGCTAATTACAACAAAAATTCACACAAAATAAAATGACAAAGTGATGGCATTTTATATCCAAAAGGTCAAAGGTCAACTTCACTGTTACAACTCGTTTTCTGGCCATTACTCAATATCATATCTCAGGAACAGAGGGGAAGACGTTTGGTCAGATACTGAATCAGTAAGTGACACTTATCTCACTTATCTTGGGTGTCCACCTTGAAACTGTGCTGCTTGTATAGATCTTCTGTGCTGCTAGGGGGAAATCAGTGTTTTAGGGTATGTAGCTCCTTTATAGTAACATCCATATTTGATGCATTGTCTACTGTCTTGACTACATTTGAGTCTTGACAGACATGGATTTAAACGGATACTTGACTGGTTGGCAGAGGCGTACATCGCAAATTGATAATAATTGATTAATTGGGAAAATAACCACCAAATTAATTATCAGTTATGAAAAAAATGATTAATTGCAGCCCTCACTTTCTTTTTACCCTAAGAGACAGCATGCTAATTTGTCTCATTAACATCACAAGCTGTTGTGTTTATCCTTGTATGCTACTCCTACAAGGGGGAAAATACAGTAAACATCTGAGAAGGGAAAAAGTTGGAAAAAATCTTCTGAGTGGAAAAAAAAACAGGTCTCAAAGTGCTGAGAACGTTAAAACAAAGCCAAGAGGAGTATGATTAATTAATGAGGAATATCAACAGTATTGCAGCAGTTCTGCTCATTACTGATGGAGATTTTATGACCATATGATAGTGTGGGATATGTTCATTTGTATTTATAACCTGCTCTGAACTCTACCTCCACAGGCTGATGGCAGCCGGCCCCGACCTGGACCTCCCAGTGATCCCAGCGCCAGATGGCCCCACGTAGATGACCCCACCACCAGACAGCCTCAGCTGGACGACTGTGAGCGGATGGGGACTCTGTTTGGGATGCTCAACAAGTGTCTACGTGGGATGGGCTTCAGCCAGATGTACTTTGGGGACAAGATTGTGGAACCAGTTGTGATTGTGTTCTTCTGGCTGCTGCTCTGGTTCCTGGGCATCCAGGCACTGGGACTGGTGGGAACTCTGTGCATCATCATCATCTACATCCAGAAGTAATTGGAGTGGATGATCAGAGTGGAGCCTGCTGTTTTTCTGTGTTTATTGCTTACATATGCGGGACTCATTTCATGCTAATGGATGTTTGGATTGGAATCTGCAGTGGATCTGTGCTTATAGGGGGGCGGCTGTGGAGAGGGCTACACTGCTCTGTAGTGATGGGGGCTAAGCAGGTTTCTAGAAATGGTTTGTTCACTCAGAGTAGATCCAAAGCTGGGTCCATTCTTCAAGATTATCTGGTCAGGAGCTTCTCCTCCCTCAGTAATAGGAGAGGTGTTGTCCTGCTGCCTCTGCTGTTATTGTGATGTAATGGTATTGATCTGCTGATTTAGGGAAACAGGAAGATATTGCAGGAAATGGTTTGTCTCTGTTTGTATCAGAGGCTACAGAGTGAAGACCTGGAGTCCCAGCATTCAGGAAACAGAACTGCACACATGTCTGTGTAGCGTGTTTCACTTAAAGAGATCTTTGTTAACATACAGTATGTGAATGTGGTGTGCAAGCGCAGCACTTATATGCCTCCAATAATCACTTATAACAAAACAGTGTCTGAATGTAACGCTGACATGCAGTACACATTATGTTCTTCTGAAACCTTTTAGCTATGAAATATTTACCTACTTTGAGATAGATACTAGGGATGCACAATATATTGATGGCTGATAAATGACAAAAAGTTATTATTGTTATTCCATTGTCAGGTAATGCACAGACTTTTTGCAGCAGCTGTGGAGAGGGATTCCATCTGTGAAACTTAAGCCCCGTTTCCACCCAACACTTTCGGTATGGTACCTTTGAAACCAAAAGTAACCCTTCAGACATGGTACCTAGACCCTAGGTACATTTTCATCACAGACAGTACTCTGAAATGTGGGCGCGGCCGTTGTCACTCACTGCTTTGTCCACCACTCGCTGTATTTCCTCGTCCCCGGTGCCACAGAGGGAAGTCTGCACCGCATTTATCAGCCACAGAATGAGGCTGCATGCCGATATTTTCAGAACAAAATAGAACAGGCTGCAGTGAGAGTCTCTCTTGATGGCATATTTTAAAATAGCGGGTTTGTGCATTTAGTCCTTCTCAGGCAAGCACAGCCAGTCATAGCCCACAGGAATGACATTCCACAACGCTTTTTTTTCCTCCAAGTGAGGATTAGAATATATGCAGTTCACCAGTCTGGTCAAAATTAATATATATTTATAAGCACTTCAGAGATCTACTCATTTCTAAAAGTGTGTGTCATCTCATAGAGAGAATCAAGTAATGGAATGGTCAAAGTTTAACATTGAAATTTAAGGTGTGCTGATGGATCCAGGTTGTCAACTCATGCATTGAGTAACCTTAAATGTTGCCGGCAGTTGGCTTTGTGAATAAATTGACCAATCAACAGACTGCAGTGTTTTAGCTCCACCTTTTAGTACCAGATCTGTGTGCTAGGTACCCCAACAGAGGGATGACCAAAAATGAGGACAGTAAGGAACAGTTCCATTGGTACCATCCACAACTCTTCACAGTGGAAACAGAAAAAAGTGAACCAAACTGAACTAAACCATACCGTACCGAACTGTATGGTGGAAACAGGGCTTTTGTTCTGAGGGGATCAGTTCTAAATAAGTGAGCGATCCTGCGTCTCTAGCTTTTCCTCCTCTGCTCTCTGTTTTGGTGCCTGTGCTCGCTCCATTCACCTCCTCCCACTACCAGGAAAAACACATTATTATCACTTAACAGTATCAGTCCTGAAATTACACATAGGCACATCTCGAGCAGGTAGAGGTGGAAGCCCTCCTCTTTTCAAGGAAACTGACAGGAATGTGAAGGACTTCTTACAGTCATGGAAAGATAGACTGACATGTTGGGATAGACTTTGGTTTTGGAAACTAATTGTGTTCAACAGATACAGTAATGTTCTTGTGGAGAGAAAACTACATTTATGCTGGATGCAAAAAAAAACCAAACGTTCACAGTCTTCCAGTTTGTCTTCTCTGCTGTTGCAGAGCTGCAGTGTTACTCCCCTCCGTTACACTGACACACTGAATCTTAACATTGACTATATTTACATGCATTAATATTCAGGTATTCTGAAAAGGACATATTGCTACTAAACTGTTTACATGGCCAATGAAAAATGAATATTCCACTAAAACCCCCATTTACATGCAGCCAGGCATACTCTGATGAACATGCCCTAACTTGTCGTTCATGTCAAAATACTGAAAAATGAAAAAGCTGAAGCTGCTTGTGACATTTTGCTTTTTCTACACCAAAATAGGATTTTTCTAATTTTCCCACTGGTGGTGGACTTGTGTGAACACAGCCTTTCATTCCTTTAACCACATTTTTTTAAAAGGCCTATGTTGCAATATTTGCTTTAAACCTTTTAATTTCCAACTCTTTCATAATGTTTGAAAGTAGGTGTGTTTCTCCTTTCCACAAGAAATGTGGGCTTTTCTTTTGGGCATGTGTCTCTATCTGCCAGGCTCAAACACTGCCGGCAGGTTGGTTTGTGCACAACACAAAGAGCTGGCTGTAAACAGGCAAGAGGCCGTGTGTAGCAAACTGCTGTAAAAACCCCAATCAAGAGGCATATTTCAAATGTGCTGTAAACATGTCCAAAGAATGCTCCTTATTAATACCCACATATCCCACATGTCTTATTTGGAAAATACTTTATCATAATCATGGAATATTAGTGTGCATGTAAGCAGAGTGAATGTGCAAGAAAACTACACTGGAATATTAACTGAGAAACTGGCATTCACAGAGTTAATTCATATGTAGAGCTACTGGTAAAATATCTATCATATCAGACTAGTAATTGTTTTGGGATTTTGGTCATTTTGTGAACTACCTTTCATCTGCAGTCTGCATATCATCAAATGTACACAGTTGTCTTCACCTGTCAGACCGTTTCAGTTGAGTGCAATTATCACAGAATGCCTCTTTTTAATCACCATATCTGATTGTAATCCTACCCAGAATCCTCTGAGGTTTATGTGTCATCTGACAGCAAATCTAAATCTAAATGTTGACAATGCAAAGTGAATTAGATATTGCCAATCCTGTCTCTAGGAATCACTTGCATATGCAGCATTTTGGTGATGGCTATTTACATAAACTGGCAACATTTCCGTTCTACACTAACTACCCCATAATGACAGAGCCAGTGTAGGATGTTAAAAATATCTGCCAGCATATTAAAAAAAACTGGAATATCACATTAGTATTCAAACTCTTAGTACTTAGTTGAAACACCTGTGGCAGCAATTACAGCCTCCAGTCTTCTTGGGTATGACACAACAAGCCTTGCTCACCTGTATTTGGGGATTTTTTTCCATTCATCTCTGCAGAGCCTCTGGTGCTCCGTCAGGTTGCATGGGTTCTGTCGGTGGATTGTTTTCAGGTCTTTCCAGAGATGTTTTATTGGGTTCTGCTCAGGGCCCTTTGTGGGCCACCTGAGGTCATTTACAGAGTTGCCCCTGTAAGCCCCTCATGTATTGTCTTGGCTGTGAGCTCAGGGTCATTGTCCTGTTGGAAGGTGAACCTTCAGCCCAGTCTGAGGTCCTGAGGCCTCAGCTTGAACCACGTTGTCATTTATGACCTCTCTGTATTTTTGCTCCATGTAGATCCTGTGAGACCTTATAAAGACAGATGTGTCTTTCCAAATCATATCCATTTAATAGAATTTACCACAGGTGGATTCCAGTCAAGGTGTAGGCGCATCTCAAAGAGAAATGAGAGGCTAGATATCAAGTGTCATAGCAAAGGGTCTGAATACTTATGTTAGTCTGATGTTTCAGTTTTTTCTTTTTATTAAATTTGCGCAGAAATTCTAAAATCCTGTTGTGGCTTTGTCAGTGTGGGGTACTGAGTGGACTGATGAGGGAGAAAATACAACTATTTTAGACAACTGCAACAAAACAACATCTGAATGCCCTGTATGTTCACCATTTATCTTCAAAAATATATTTGCACCATTTTGTTCCCCTAGAACGGTTTGATGTTATACAAAGAAGTTGCATTTAGATGTAGTCATTGTCAGGAGAAATGGCTGACAAGGCAGGTTGAAGGAAGGTGAAACAAACAACTGATTGCAGTAACTCCCCTCACAACTGAATATATAATAACAGTATGGGAGTATTTGAGGAGGATAATTTTTCTGGTAGTCTCAGGTAGTTTTTACAGCTGAACATACTTTACTGTTTTGTTTATTTTATGATTTGAATGTGCAGATGTCCAGGTTAACTGACCGCACACTGTTGAGAAGAACTGAACTGTAGTCATCACACTGATTTCAAAGTTTACTACTGAGTGTCAAAGTTTTCCAAAGCAAACATCATCACAGATGGGATGTTCACAGCTGACTTACTGACATGCTGCATTTGTCCTTGTTTAAAAAAAACTAATGAATTATTTTAAACTTAAATTATTGTTTCTAAGGTGTTTGCACTGAGAGTTTTATGCATACCTATGAAAGAATTAATGAATCAAAATGTGTTGCAATGTCTATGATTAAAAGCGAGTGTTCCTAAAACTCTTTGGCTGTCACTGCTCTGTCAGACTGTATTTAGTAGTGCTTTTCTCTAAACGCTAACACGCTCATGTCGACATTCTGATGATGTTCAGCAGGTAATGTAATGTTTACCATGTTCACTATTTTGTATTCTGTACCCGACCTAGAACTATATCAGTCGAATCAGATTCAGCTGTTCTTTTTTTTTTTTTATGCCTCCACGCAGGCGACAGCTGTGGCTGGAGGCCTAATGTTTCTGGGTTGTCCATCTGTCCATCCATCAGTCCGTCCCATCCTTGTGACTTAAACTTAAAGGGACTCAACGATGAACTGATTAGGTTTTGGTGGTCAAAGGTCAAGGTTGCCATGACCTTGCATCCATCTGATTTTCGTGAATGCAGTATCTTAAGAAGAGCTTTAGGGAATTTCTTCAAATTTGCTACAAATGTTCACTCAGCAACTCGATGAAGTGATGACATTTTGGTCGTCAAAGGTCAAGATCCGTGTAGCCTTGTCTGTCTCAATCTTGTGAAAGTAATATCTCAAGAACACCTTATGGGAATTTTTTTAAAAGTTTGACAGACATCCACTTACTGAAGAATAACCTGATTAGAATTTTGTGGTCAAAGGTCAAGGTCACTGTGACCTCACAAAATATGTTTTTGGCCATAACTCAAGAATTCATGTGCTAGTAATGACAAAACTTCACACAGATGCCAAATAGGATAAAATAATGAAGTGATGGTATTTCATATCCCAAAGGTCAACTTCACTGTGACATCTAATGTTGTGCAAAAAATTATCTGGCCGTTATTCAATGTCATATCTCATTCACATTTTTTAAATCCAAACCACCCCCTTAGAATTTTTAAATAATTAAGTTTTATGCGGGAGAAAACTGCACTTATTCTTTTAATTATCTTCTAAATATGCTTTTAATATTATTAAAAAATCCCAAAGAACAGATGCGTGCAGTGCCTGCAGGTTCACGCTCTTCCTTTCCTCCTGCGCTCTTTGCAAACACAATGTTCCTGCAGCACCAAACCACATCAGATTTCTTTAATTTAATTTTCAGAACTGCAGTGTGGGAGACATAAACATAATTTTGAAGTTAAGTTCTGGTTTATAAAGACGCATAGACGTGGGAAACAGTCTAGCGTCTGTCTCTGCTTGCACTAAGCAGTTGGTAACTCTGAGGGAGACTGATTGTACACCAGACAAGGTTACTTGTCGTTGAGCTTAATAGTGGGTAGTAGCCTAAGATAGACAGTGACAAACAATGCCAAGGCTTAGGGCAGGCACTATCATTACCTGGCCATCTATGAAGGCAGGTTAGGGAGATGTGGATGCTGCTCTGCAGAGCACTTGATTTATGCTATAATGTTTCTCCATACACAATCAAAAAAGTGTTAAGAACACTTTGAATAATAATATAGGAAGAAGCAAAAGTTCTTTA